CCCGGGAAGGGCCCCCCCGGGCCCCCCTGCCGAGGGGCGAGGACATGGGGTGGGACAGAGATCGGGGCGGGGGGGGCGGGGGGGTCCCCTCTGGCCTCCCTTTTGCCCGCCAAAACGCCGTGGTGGATGGTAGGGTTGATCCAACACAACAGCCAACGGACGGCCAATGGAAACGCCAAGAAGGTGCCACTAAACACTTGGCCACCCTTCCCAGCATCCCCATGGTTGGAAGCTCCTTCCAGGGGGTCATCTGGCCCCTTTTTGACTCCCTTGTTGACGGCCACCAACTCCCTCATCCCCCCCCTTTCTTGTCCTGAGCTCTCACGGCGTTGAATGCCTCCACCAAGGGTTGAGTGGGGAAGACGCTCCAGTCGGAAGAACTCAACGTCGTGATGACAGCGGACCCTTCGCCGGTTCCTCAAGGTGGGAACCGCACACAGGATTGGGTGAAACGTGCCACCGGTTCCAAATCCCACCCCACTGCTGCTGCCGTCCTACCTCAGTGATGATGGTGCTGATGAAGACGCTGCGGTCGTAGGTCCAGCCATCACGGCAGGGCTCTGTCTCTGGCCAGCTGCTGTTGGGAGCCGAGCCGTTGGCCTCCAAAAGCCACCACTGTGGTGTCACGAAGCGTCGGCACTGCTCGCTGTGGGGAACCGAGACCCTCAGCAGGTCCTGGAGGTCGAGGCCGGTGACGTTGGCCTCCCAACGAAGCCGGCAGCGATGGTCGCTGGTGGCGGCCGTGAAGTTCTGCAGAAGGTTGTGAGTGGCCGTCATGAGGACGGGCAGGGCCAGGAGGAGCACCGAGGCCACCTGGAAGCGTCCCATACCCCCCACGTGCTCCAGGAGGCTGGCGAAAGCCATGCTGCCACCGTGAGACCCCGGGAACGCCCCGCAGCCATGCACGCCCGCCCCACACTCGCAGAGCCCCAAAAGGGATGGATTTCACCCCAAAAATCCTTCTCTCGCTCCCACAGTGTCCTCGCTCCACAAGCCCCAGGGATGGTCTCCTATATAACCTGGCCAACGGCTGGTTTGGGTTAATGTTTGACATCTGGGGTGGGGTTGGGTTGTTTTTTGGGTGATTTTCCAGCAGGAGAAGGCAAAGGCAGGTGGGCAAAAGTGCAGGCAAGGGCAGTGCGAAGGAGTCCGGGGGGGGC